GGAAGGAAGGAAGGAAGGAAGGAAGGAAGGAAGGAAGGAAGGAAGGAAGGAAGGAAGGAAGGAAGGAAATATTTTCTCAACAGTCCCCACCTTTCATTGTAAATACAGGATTCAGAATGCTAAAAATGACATCTTATCAACTGTATATTGATTTTTTAACCCTGCATTTTTTACTGTTAAGAACCAAAGCAGAATATAACTATTTACAACAAATATTTTAAATACAGTTAGAACTGCCTCAAATACTGCTGGTTTAAAATCATAAGGCAGTATAAAAAACTGTATGACACAGAGCATCAACAGCAAGGCAGACAAGGAAGCAGAGCAGTACAAACTTAACCCAAAGTATGAGTGATGGATATGTATTACCCTGGTGCCCAAAGCTTACCAAACTCTGTGCCAAACATAACACAATAGCAAGAAAATTCCAAAACCACCACACACACATATACAAAAAAAGCCTCATCCTGCTATATGGTACAATTTGGAAAGCAGATACCCCCTCCCAAATTCCACCTAATTCATTCTGATGTTTAATTTTCTTTGGTCAATATCACAAAACAGCCTAGAACTGCATAACGGCAGCACTCAAGTATAGGCAAGTAAGTAATTAAAAGATTTCAATAGCAATTGCACTTAGACTTATATACCATTTCACAGGGCTTTACAGCACTCTCTGGGTGGTTTACAGAGTCAGCATATTGTCCCTAGTAATCTGGGTCCTCATTCTAACAACCTCAGAAGGATGGACGCTGAATCAACCTTGAGCCCACCAGGATCAAACTCCTGGCTATGGGCAGAATTAGTCTGCAATACTGCATTCTAACCACAGCCCCACTTTTCTCAACTATATATTCAGGAGCAAAAAAAAAAAAAGGAAGTTCATTTCATCGAATAACTTAAGCCTTGCTAACTGAATTTCCACTCATTTAGATGAATCTGTTTGAGGATAATTGTCGCTAACTTAAATGTCACTGAATAACTCCCACTTGTTTCTTTTCTTTTTTAAAGAATTTCTCTCACTTTTCCTCTCTTTAATTTCTTCCCTTTCTTTTTAATCTGTGGAAGTCATAACTGTAACCTCTGTGACCTTTCTTGGATATTTTCCTACAGATTATTCTGGAACAATGCTGCACCAGCAGAAAGTGCTGGCAGACACTAAAACCAGTTCTCCATTTGTGGACTCCAGAAAGATATTCCACCCCAATATTATCTCAGTGTGGACCCTAGAAGCAATCTGAATCTGAATCTGAATCTGAATCTGAATCTGAATCTGAATCTGAATCTGAATCTGAATCTGAATAGGGTAGGGTAGGGTAGGGTAGGGTAGGGTAGGATAGGATAGGATAGGATAGGATAGGATAGGATAGAATAGAATAGAATAGAATAGAATAGAATAACACAGTTGGAAGGGACTTTGGAGGTTTTCTAGTCCAATCCCCTGCTTAGGCAGGAAACCCTATACTATTTCAAACAAATGGTTATCCAATCTCTTCTTAAAAACATCCAATGTTGGAACATTTACAACTTCTGGAAGGAAGTTGTTCCATTGATTATTTTTTCTGTCAGGAAATTTCTCCTTAGTTCTAAATTGCTTCTCTCCTTGATAAGCTTCCACCCATTGCTTCTTGTCCTATCCTCAGGTGTTTTGGAGAATAGCTTGACTCCCTCTTCTTTGTGGCAGCCTCTGAGATATCGGAACTATCATGCTATTATGTCACCCCTAGTCCTTGTCATCAAATTAGACTATAAATGGGGACACTGAAAAAATGTAGCCTTCTTGATTTTTTCCTCTATCCATTTCTTTTCAGAATAGATGGAAATGAAAACTGATGAGCTTCATTTAGTCCATTATGAAATGCATGCAGATTTATTAAAAAGTAATATAATTGGTTTCTGAGCAACTATTTCTTATATCAATCTTCCCCAGTTTGATGTCTTCCAGATATATTTGCTGCTTAGAAATTATTACTATTTGAATATTTAAAGTGCTTTTGAAGTTGCTCTGGGAAAACTTTTGTTTTAAAAAATACTTATCAATTTTATATACTAATTACAGTAATAAGATATATCCCAAATGTTCTCAGATAGCATAATTGTTGAATTACCACATCTGGAGAGCACCAGGTTGCAAAAACTTTCCTTTATCATAATGATTACAAATTTCTGCAAGGATCTTCCCGGAACCAATCAAGGGAACCCATTGAGACTCACCTGCAAGTGCTACTTTTCTGCATGACGTCAGCTCGATGGTATCCAGAGAGTTTACAGAAACCGTCATTACTATAAACTACAGGCCAGTCCACAATCTGAGCATTGCCCAATAAAAAACTTGATTCTAAAGTGAAAGAAAACAAAACAAAATTAATTCCTCATGTAAAGAATTCTTTCAGTTATTGAAGATAGCATTCTTCAATGATGACTTCCAGAATTTTTAAAGTTGCAGAGGTAGAGAAATACCGCTCTAGATGAGTGGTGTCAAATTCATGGCCCATGAGCCAGAAGCATCACACGCTGGCCACACCAACCTCCGGTTTAGCAAAGTGGGGAAAAGTCACGCTATATCATGTGACAACAATGTGACACTGCACATTTGACACCCCTGCTTTGGATCATTGTTTTAGACTACCATTATATAGTACTGGAAAATAGTGTTAGAAGAAGTGAAATAGCAATAGCACTTAGACTTATATACCGCTTCATAGTGCTTTACAACGCTCTCTAAATGGTTTACATTGCCCCCAATAATCTGAGTCCTTGTTTTACCGATCTCGGAAGGATGGAAGCTGAGTCAACCTTGAGCCAGTTAGGAGTGAACCACTGGCAGTCAGCAGAATTAGCCTGCAATACTGGATTCTAACCACTGCGCCACCACATTTTCCATGATAAAATGTCACAACATAGAATGCTTCTATTCAGAGTTCAAGCTAGCTGCTGTGTACTCCATTCCCTTACCTTCTCACCTCATTTTTCCATTCCCATATCCATCTGCCCATCAACATTTTTTATCTCTGAAAATGCTTTTTTAGGGTTTAATTCCCTTTGGGTAATTTTTTGCTTATCCCTTCTTTTTAATGTATGGAAAAGGCCATTTGGACAACACATGGGTTAGAATTTAATAGATAAGTTTGTTATCAGTCCATTCTGTTGGGTAATATTAGCAATAGTAGCAGTAGCACCTAGACTTATCTAGTCTAGCAATAGTAGCAGTAGCACCTAGACTAGCGCTTCACAGTGCTTTTTACAGCCCTCTCTAAGTGGTTTACAGAGTCAGCCAATTGTCTCCAACAATCTGGGTTCTCATTTTACCCACCTCGGAAGGATGGAAGGCTGAGTCAACCTTGAGCCTCATGAGATTCAATCTGCCAAATTGCAGGTAGATGGCAGTCAGCAGAAGTAGCCTGCAGTGCTCCACTCTAACCACTGCACCACCGTGGCTCTTATATTAAGAAGATGTTTGTGAGCATAGGTATGAACTATGAAATAACTGTTCCCAACAGCTGCCTATTAGAGGATAAGATTAATATAACGGTTTTGAAGAATGAAATAAAATGGGGCAGCAACAGCAAAAAATAAAACATTCCTGACTAATCATTTGATTATGTGCCATCACGTTGACAACTTAGACAGATTTTCTCCATGGTGATCTGTCCCTACCCTGATCCTTCAAATCTTCCAATGGCATTCATCCTACTACCTTTCTTCTGTTTTCTTCTACTTTCCCACTGTTAGAGCCTTTTCCAGAGAATGGGTCTCTATATAATATGTCTGAAGTTGGGTAATTTGAGCCTTGTCATTTGTACCTTGGGTGAAAGCTCTGGGTTGATATGTTCTCTAATCCATTTGTTTTTGTCTAGGCTATCCATGGCCTTCTCAGGAGTTACACCAAATTTCAAAAGCATCTCCATCAACTAAATAATTTAAGGTGGCGAGGAAAACATAGAAGCATGATGGCTAACTAAATCTCTGGGTCACTTCATTTCATTCTGAGAATGAATCCCATGAGCCCTTGGGATGGAACAGCCTGTCTTTTCTATTACTTTAAAGTTCCACTGTATGAATGAACAGGGAAGAAATTAAAATGGGAAATGTGTGGGAATACAGGTGGTCCTCAACTTACAACCACAATTGAGCCCAAAATGCCTGTTGCTAAGTGAGACATTTATTAAGTGGGTTTTGCCCCATTTTATGACCTTTCTTGGGGCCAGTGGTTAAGTGAATCACTGCAGTTGTTAAGTTAGTAGCACGGTTGTTAAGTAAATCTGGCTTCCCCATTGACTTTGTTTGTCAGAAGGTCAGAAAAGGTGATTATGTGACCCTGGGACACTTCAACCCTCATAAATATGAGTCGGTTGCCAAGCATTTTGATCTCATGACCATGGGGATGCTGCAACAGTTGTAAGTGTGAAAAACAGTCACAAGTCACTTTTTTTTCAGTGCCATTATAACTTTGAATGGTTACTAAATGGAAGTTAAATCAAGGATTATCTGTATACTATTGAGAACTGGACCTCTCATATAAATGACTCTTAATTCCTTAATCCAGGAGTCAGCAACCTGCGGCTCTGGAGCCGCATGTGGCTCTTTCATCCCTCTGCTGCGGCTCCCTGTCCCCTGTCAGCTCCACAATTGATAGGGATTTCAGGTACGACAGGTAGAGGAAAAAGAATGCTGCACAGGAGGAGACTCTATGGTGGGGGAACCGGACTTCCGGTTGGCTCCAGATTGAACGGAGGGCTTCCAGTTAGGACCTTTTTACTTTTAATGGTATCGGACCTGGTTACTTGAGAGACCGCCTCCTGCCAGTCACCTCCCAAAGATCTATTAGATCCCACAGACTAGGCCTCCTCCAAATTCCATCTACCGGCCAATGTTGGCTGGCGACCCCCCGGGGGAGGGCCTTCTCTATGACTGCTCCAGCCCTATGGAACGATCTCCGCGTTGAGATCCGGACCCTTACTACCCT